GCTTGTATAAATAAATAAATCTTAATTTTTTTTGTGTAATATATAATGCAATAATATATAATGAAATCAGGAAATGTAATGTATCCAACTTAGTTCTTATTTCTCAAGATTCCTTTGATTATTTGGTGTCTTTGTTTCTATTCAAGTTTTAGAAATACTCTATTTCTTTGAGAAATGAGTTTGAAATTCTGGTAGGGATTGTAGTGACTCAATAGATTGCTTAAATTAGTATGGATGTTTTAACAATATTAATCCTTCCACTTTGAATATGAATACTTTCCAATTATTTGTGTCTTCAGTTTTTCTCACCAGTTATATTTTCAGTATGCAAGATTTTCACTCTTTGGTCAAATTTATTTATATTTATTTATGTCATTTTACATAGGAAAATTTTAAACTTGCATTTTAAACTTGCAAGAGATATTTGGATATTGGTGTCCTATCCTATATTACTGAATTTGTTCTAGCAATTTTTGATGGTGTTCATGGGATTTTCTTATGTCAACTACAATACTGACAGCTTTACTTCTTTCTTTTTAATTTGGATAACTTTTCTTTTTCATGTTTAATTTCTCTGGCTAGGAATTTCAGTACTCTTAAGTAAAAGTGGCCAAACATGTTTTGTTCCTAAAGTTAGAGGAAAACATTTTAGCATTTTAACATTGAGAGTGATGTTAGCTGTGGGCAGGTCATACATGGTCTCTTTCTATTGAGGTGCTTTATACCCAGTGAATTTTTATAATAAATAGGTATTGAGTTTTGTCAAATAACTTTATTTTTAAGATTTATTTATTCATACATACAAGAACCGGGATATAGGTCAGATGTGCAGGAAGGTGAGAGGATTCACCAGATACAGAGTGGGGAACAGAACAGGCAGACTAAGTGAAATACTGCTGAGGAGAGCAGTGGGTGAGACTAGAGAGGTCTGCCACACTTTGCGGGATTCTCACCGGCCAGCCGGGATTGAACCCACGCTGCAGAGGATGTGGACAGCTTCACAACACTACGCTCAACCCGCTGTGCCACCAGGGGAGGCCCCCAAATAACGTTTTTTATGCATCTACTGAGATAATCATATATTTTTTTTTATTTTTAAACTTTTATTCCAGTAACGTTTTTTTACAATGCCTCATTTTTAATTTTGAGTCCTCTTGTGAGTCTAAAGTTTTATAAATTTTGTTCATCTTTTCAAAGTACAGTTCTTTTATTGATATTTGTTTTTAGTCTGTATTTTAACTGATTTTTAAATTCTTTTTTTTACTGTTAATTTTTTCATATTTCTATTATACCTTAGTTGTTAATCTAGCTTGCATTATTTTCCCCCTTGTTTCTTAATAAAGACAGTTACTACTATGAACATCCATTTTAGAATTGATTTTGCTATATCCCATAAAATGTTAACATATATTTCCATTTTCATTTATGTATAACTGATTTTTTGATTTCTCTTGATTTCTTTAACCCATGAGGTTATTCAGCAGTATGTTATTAGTTTCCATATAATTAACCATTTTCCAGATTAGTTTTATATCAGTGATTGGAAAAGTGCTTGGTATGATTTTAATTTAGATTTTGGCCTAACATGATCTATCCTGGAAAATGTTCCATGTGCTGTTGAAAAGAATGTGCATTTTCTTGCTTTTGGATGGCATGTAATGTATATATTTGATAGATACATATAGTATAATGTGCCATTTAATGCCAGTGTTTATTGATTTTCTGTCAAGATGATCATATAAAGGAATCCCAGATTTCTTTTGGTTTTTATTTGCATAGAGTACATTTTTCATCTGAAACTTCAGACTGTATTTTGACCTCTGCAGCGAGTCTTTTTTTAGCAGTATAGAGATGGGTCTTATTTTTGTTTATCTTACAACTCTGTGCCTTTTGATTGTAGAATTTAGTCCATTTATGATTAAAGTAATTATAGAGAAGTATATACTTATTCCCATTTTGTTAACTTGTTTTTGCATGGTTTGTATGTCCTCTGTTCCGTTCTTATTCTTAGTAATTTATTTAATTGCATGGTTTGAATCCCAGAGCTCCACGTGACTAACAATATTAGAGTCATTACTAAGCTTTTATTTTGTATATAGAGAATAGGATATTGTTTCGTAGTTACCCTGAGCTTTACACACAAGGCTATTTTAACTTGTATGATGAATATCTATACTTCCCTTCCTCAAATTTTGTTTATGTAGTTTTACTAATTTTGTATTTTACATTATTGGATCACTTTTAAAGCTGTTGATAAAAAATTCTGAATTTTACTGTAATTGCAATAACCTGTGATATTTATACTTCAATATTCTTTCCTATTTAGCAATCTTCAGCATAAGGAATTTCCACTAACATTTCTAGTAAGGCCTTTTTAAAGGTCAGTCTAGTCTTTAGCTTTTACTTGTATGTATGGAAAACTATCTTTAATTATGAAGGATATATATAATTCTGAAAAATATACAATATTGCTAGAGTATTCTTTGTTGTTGTTGTTGTTCAGAATCTTGAATAATCCTGCAAAGAATTCTGAATAATCAAGAATAATCTTGCAAAGATTCTGAGAATATTTGCCAATAGTCTTGTGGAGAGGTCCCCTTATAAAATTATTTTTCTCTTGCTGCTTTTAAGATTCTCTCCTTGTCTGTAACTTTGACATTATAATTATAATGTGTCTTTTTTAGTACAGGTCTTTTGTAGTTTACATTGGTTGGAACTTTCTGGGATTGCGATTGCTGTATTCGAAGGTCTATTTATTTCTTCAGGTGAAGTAAGTTTCCCACCACTATATCTTCCTCTGGAACCCTTATGAAACAATGAATATTGGTCTTCTTGATGGCATCCCTTTAGTCCATAAAGTTATCATTACTTCATTATTTTTAATGGATGCTTTAATTGGGTGGGTTTCACTTCTATGCTTCTGAATTCATTGATTCTTTGGTTGCATGTAGTCTGCTGTTAAACTCCTGTGTATTTTTTTCAGTTTAGTGATTATCTGGTAATTTCTGGTTTTCCTATGTTTGTTATAGTTCTCATTGTTTTCATCCATTCTCTATGTTTGGTATCTTTATGATCATCATTTTGAAATCCTGAATTATTAAGAAGGTCTTTTTCTTTTGTTTAGAACATATTCTATTCATTTTACTTGACTCTGGCTTATTTTTTAATGCATGAGATAAAACAGCTGTTTCACCCCATTCTTGGAGTACCCTCATGTAGAAGAGGAAACTTACTGTTCGCCCTTGCTCTATATCTTGATTATTTTTCAAACCTTTGTGAATGTTCAATTATTTCATATATGGAGTTCTCATTTGTTGAGGGTATATCAAAACCTGTTAGGGAAGGAGCTCAGTCAGCACTTATATACTGTATCAGCTTTTATTGTATGCCAGAAGAGTCTTGTGAAATCACATGCACATATACCTCTAGTTACCAGAGCTAGGTGATCTAGAGGTGTCTCTTTGGCAGTAGTCACACAGAAACTGGGACATTGGATTTGTGAACAAGCTACTTTCCAGGAAAAACTGGTGATATGCACTGATAGCAGTGGAACACAAAAATGGCCTCTACTGGTCACGGCCCCTAGTGTAGGAGCAACATATGTGCCAAATCAGTAGCATACCCCTCTAGTTGAAGCTCTACAGTAAACAAATAGAACACTTTCACAGAAAGACTGAAATGTGTTTCAAGCCCTTATGTGTGCTGTGTCCTAGGGGTGATGTCTAGCCTAGTGATCTCTCTCCTTTAGTATAGTTCCATAGAACAAACTATACTGACAACCAAAGTTAGACAATCGGGGTGGGGGGCATCTCCTGATGGCATCCACAAAACTGGGGCACCAGATATACATACATGTTATTCTGAGATACCAGTTTTCTGGAGTGGATTTTGGGGAGATAGTTTCTGTCAAGGTCTCTGGGAAAAAATTGCATTCATCTCTTAGAAGCCTGTTTAATTAGAAGACTTCCCTTTAGGCTACAGCTCTGAAAATGTAATATACTTCTTTCTTGGAAAAATGGGCCTTTTAGTTATATTGTCATTTCCATGCTTTGGAGATGTTAGCTGGCTAAGAACTCTTTCTCCGTTAAAATCCGGTAGGACCCAGGCCTCCCCTGGTGGCACAGTGGTTGAGCGCTGGGCTGTGAGGCTGCCCAAAGCCTCTGCAGCGCTGGTTCATTCCCCGGCCTCTGCAGTGCTGGTTCATTCCCCGGCCGCCGGCGAGGGTCCCACCACAAAAAAACAAACAAACTAACAAAAAAAACCCTATAGGACTCACAAGCCTGAGCCAGGTGAGTAAGATCAGTCTTTTGTTGCAGTCATAATAACTGGGGTGCACATAAAGAGCATAAAGCACTTTCCTGATCAGCTGTAGGAAAATAGAGAGGACGTGCAAATCTGGTGATATACTAGCCTCTTGTCTCTGGAAAGTCCCCCAGCAGGTCCCTAGATATGTATTCATTAGATTCCTGCTGATGCTTCAAAAGAAACAAATAAGCCTTTTTTTTTTTTTTACACACACGCACACTCGCACACTCACACACCCACACACCCCCACCCACCCCTCCCTCTCAATTGCTTTTATGCTGATATCTGGGAAGGGTGCATCTGTGTACATAGGTCCATTAGGATCATTTACTCCCACATGATCTAGTGATTGCACTCCTAGGAATCTTCCCAAAGAACACAAAAACACTAATTCAAAAGGAAAGCTGCGCTCAGGTGTTTATTGCAGCACTATTTAAAATGGCTAAGATATGGAAACAATCCAAATGTCCCAAAACAGATGAATGGATCAAGATGTATATATACACAATGGATTATTACTCAATAATCAAAAAAGAAACTTGTGCCATTTGCAAAAACATGGATGAAGCTAGAAGGGTTTATGCTGAGTGAAATAAGTCAGGAGAAAGATAAATACAACATGGTTTCACTTATAGTCAGAGTATAGAGAAACTGAACAAAGGGTCAGAAAAAAAAAGAGACAAAACTGGCAAGCTGTCACCATAAGTCTGAGTTATACAGCAAGGAAGGTAGAGGGAAGAACACAAAGGACTGTGTTCTTCTATGATGAATCTTGGTTTCTATAGTTGGGGGAGAATTATAGGACTGCACTTGAGGTGGGGAATTAACTACTGTACAAAAATGAGCTATGATATAAGAAAATAAATAACTTTAATAAAAAATAAACATTCAGTTCACTATGGCCTTGTCATATAACTTGATCCTACTTGGTTTTCTTAACTAGGCGTTTGGGGTCTCAGTTTAGTTGCAGTTCTTAGTTGAGATTATACCTTGTGTGAGGTACCAGTCTTTCCCATCAGGTTTTCTTCAGCAGAAATTGTTCTATATGTAGCTGTAGAGTCTGTTTATCTATGGGAAGAGATGAATGCAATATCTTTTTACATTGCTATCTTGAATTGGAACCTCTTTCATTGGTGAAAAATATTCTTACTAGAGAAATTTTAAAGAAACAATTTTCCATGTGCTCTTTTGCCACCATTCATTTCCACTTCCTTTATAAAATTGTTTATTCATGATAAAATTAATAGTTTCAAAGTAGTCATACCTATGACTACAGAAGTTAATTTCATCTTCGTCAAATTTTCACTACTGCCTTTCGTAAGTCATGGTGTTGTAAGTCTCAAAACAATCCTTTGTTTTCTTTTACCTCACTCTATTTTAGTAGGGACTGAATGGTATGAGTTAAGTATAAATATTCTAGTTAAGTGTTTGGTACATCAAACCCATATCTTATTTCTTCATTTGTCAGTGTTGATTTTAATACAGTTCCTATATAATGAGTCTGCTGTTATAGAAAACAATGATTTTTACATGAAACAATATCTAGTGCTTAAAACTGATGACACTTGAACACAGGCTTGAACTGCATGTGTCCATTTTTATGCAGATGTTTTCTGTCCAGATGTTCCAAATTCATGGATTCAACCAAATGTGGATGTTGGTTGTTTGAACGTGTATGTGGAACCCATGAATACTGGAGGTGAACTATAAGTTATAGGGATATATTTTTAACTACATGGGTGTTAGCATGTCTAATCCCTCATTGTCTGAGGATGTGCTCTAATTCAAAATTTACTTTTAGGATCAGCTCTTTCCAACTTCCTATTGAAACTTCCATATTATTCTATCACAAACTACTAACTTTTCTTAGTCTGTATTCTCCTTCTGCCATTTTATATACCTATTTTTGAGATTCTTATTAACCAAACTGGAAATATAAATGTTATCTTGAACTCCATACTTCAATTACTGTTGATTCTATTCTTCTGACAGCAAATACCCAATTCAGGTTTTTATTACTTTCATGACTCTCAGAAATCCTCAATTAATCTCACATTGTCTCCGAATTACCACTTTAATGTCTACCAAAAAATTTATAGGTTTTCTACAAGCTGACCCTTATTACCATTTTCATTCTTACATTCTAGAACTCTTATTATTGCTCATCAAACTCATTCTTCCTTACATATATCTTGAATTTTCATCTTTCCCACTTTGTTATAAAATTCTCCCTGAAATATTCCCCTGTTATTCTCACCCATTAAAAATGCCATATTCTAGAAATTTGTTCTTTAATCACTGAAAATTATTGCATGAAAATCTGATTCTTCACTCTGACAGGATTTATTTAATACCAAAATATTTCATTTTAATTGAGTTTATTTTCTGCTTTATGCCACAGTTATATTTGTGCATATTATCTCTACTGAAGAAACCATGTATACTCAACAGGAAAGAACTATATACTACTTTGGGAGTAATAGTAAAGGAAGCTAGAAACATAAATATTCTTTCACTTAAATAGTAAGTAGAATCTGAATCTGATTTCTCCATATACATTAGTATGTCATTTTAAGTTTTGCTGTAATAAAAACAATTGTCAACACAAAAACTAGTGTTCTTTAAGTCTGAAGAGATATAAGCACAGAAACAGTTTTTAAGTCAATGCAATCTTGATAAATAGGAGGAAATCTTGTGTCATATTGTCAGTGAGAATGTGTCTGTGAAACCGAATTGAAGTTAGATATCCATTCAGGAATACTCAATAAATTGAACAATGAAAAAATATTACAGGGAAACCTATAGAGCTGTATCAAATTAGGAGAATTAAAAATGGAACCTAATACTCTGAGATGAGGCCTCTGTGCATTAATTCCTGGTATCTGAGCTACTCTAAGACCAGGGTCAGGCAGGCCTCAGCCAATAAAGAGAAACAAGTAGAAAGTGATAGAGGTGAGTACACAATTAAAATAGTTTGGTGGGGCCTCCCCTGGTGGCACAGAGGTTGAGCACTGGGCTGCAAAGCTGCCCGCAGCCTCCGCAGCGCTGGTTCAATCCCTGGCCTCCGGGCTAGGGTCCCACATGGCGTGCAGACCTCTCCTGCCGCCCGCTGCTTCCCTCAGCAGTATATTTCGATCCCTCTGCCTGTTCTGTTCCCCGCTCTGGCTCATTCTCTCACCCTCCTGCGCTTCTGACTGTACCCAGTGCTTGTATAAATAAATAAATCTTTAAAAAAAAATAAAGTTTGGTGACCTACAATGGTACTATCTTTTAATAGGATGGCACACAATTTATTATTGCCTACATGTTAAGTCTGAGCACTGATTATATTTAATAACTACTTTCCTGGTTTTTTTCACCATGAAAATCCATATCATAATGGTGTTAGCATTCTTTCTTACTCACATTATACAAAAATAGCCAAGTCTTGATTATGCCTATCAAGATTGTGACTCATTATCTTAGCTGTTGGTCTCAGATAAAGGGTAGTCAAAGTAATTTGCTGGTAGCTACTTGCAGGTGTATGTGTGTTGGGGGTGATAGGAGAGGGTGTTGTAATTCTGTCCTTACAGTTTTCAGCTGATCCTGAATAAAACTGCCTTTTTTCTCTTGATTCCACACTTCTAATTGATCTTAGTAAGTAAAACATACATGTGGGTGATCCTAAGTTTCTCTGTTCTTTGATTACTAAAAACATTTTAGCTTCCCTCCATTTCCACCACAACCACCTTGGAAACATATATTCCAGTTTCTGTGGTTAATAATCATTAATTTGCACATTATATCAAACCACTCTCTATTATCCATCTCCTAAATTTGCTTTGGGAGAACAATTGGAAAGACACAATCTATCACAACTTTAATATTGTGTACTTGGGCAGACCCATTTTGACTTTTTGTCCGGTATCAATTTCTGTAATTTATTATACTCACTCCCTTAAAAAATATCTTTATCTCTTGTTCATTTCTCTCCTGGATATATTTATGTGATACTCCAACTGTGGATACTCAAATATCAAACTTAAATGTTTAATATGATTTATTCCTAAAGAAAAGTCCACATCTTGGAATGAGTGTTGTTACAATAGACTCAAATACTAATTCATATAATTTTTGTGATTGTGAATATTTGCTCACTCTCTAAAACTATAATTCTTGCTTTTCCTGCCTCAGACCTCCCATCTGTCATTTTGTTCTGATATTTTTGATTCTTGTGTCCTTGAGAAAATAAAAATCCTAAGACATAAGTGACTTCATCTTTTAAGTAAAATGTGTGGTATATGATTTGTTTCTGAATTTGTCCCCTGCTTTTCTTCTCAAAGGTAGAAAATTTCCACATACAATCAAGGGATGATTCTCCACGGAGATTATGGATGGAATTTACATGGCTTGTATCCCATTTCTCCTACTTTGTATCTCTTCCTCAATAGAATCACTGCCACTAGGAATCAATGACCTAATAAACCAGATTCATTTTAAAGGGAAATCCTTCCTTGATTGTCCAACTCACTGGAGGTCTGGTTATTTCTTTCATAGAGAACATTTTGAGATATTTACCTGCTTATTCTGTTTCTACTTCCTCACCATCAATTTCATTTTCAAATCATACCAGTCTTGCCTTACTTTCTTCCTAATTTCCATGTTTGCAACTTTGTGTCACAGGATTCACACCTTCCTTTTATATGTACTTTTTCAGTCTCTGTTGTACCCTTTATAATTAGTCTGGTTTGCTTCTAAATTTGATAACAACCTTATAAAAATATTTAAAGAACTATCTTCAGATTGCTACATTTTCCCCCTTTAATCTTTCCTGATGGGCCAATTCATACAAATCGTTTAAATGGCATCTGTATGCAAGTTGCTCCCAACAGTATGCATCTAATGGGAAACTTCTGAGCATCCAAATTGTATATCCATCTAACTACTTTGCTTTAGTCTTTGAGTGTCTAAAATAGGTGCTTAATAGGTTTCTAACAAATAGCACATCCAAAATCTAGTCTCTTGATTTTCCTCATTACTTTACTACTTTTCTCTTTCAAATATATGTACAACTATTGTCCTAAATTTTCAAACCAAAAACTGTGACTCTTAATTAATCAGACCTCTAGATGTTATAAGAAAATCAATCTTCTTTATCTGCAATTATACAAGTCTAGCTAGGCCATCATATCATGTCTAGACATCTTGAGATGGCTTTCCTAAATGATCAATCTGGTCCCGGCCAAGTCCATTTTTCACGTAAGTATGAAACTGTTCTTTGGAAAACTGTGGATTATATCCTCTTTTCATATTCCAATAAGGAATTCCCATTAAACTTAATATAAAGAACATATTTTGGGTTGTCTATAAGCCTCTATACAGTCTAGCTCTTGCCTCTTTCTTGAAACATCTTAAAAGACTCACTACTTCACTCATTATGGTTTAATATGTAAGGTAAAAATCAGTCCTCTTTATGTTAAACAATTCTCTATTGGCCCCTTGCATTTCCGCACATCTTATAAGCAAAAGTACTGAATGTTCATTTTTGTCCTAGGTAATTTTTCCAAGCATATTATATTGTGAACATCCTTAGAATATACAGTTTGGGGCATCCCTGGTGGCACAATGGATTAAGCACAGCACTGTGAAGCTATCCATAGCCTCTGCAGTATGAGTTCGATCTGCGGCCAGGAGCTACCCACATGGTGCAGACCTCTCCTGTCTCACCCGCTGCTCCCCTCAGCAGTGTATTTCAGTCAGTCTGACTGTTCTGTCCCCACTCTGTCACTGGTAGATACCCTTACCCCCTGTACCTCTGGCCTGTACCCCAGTTCTTGTATGCATAAATAAATCTTTTTAAAAAGTTTAGTCCCTTTAGAGTAACAAGATTGGATAAATTACTGAAAGATAAAAATGGCATCCCCCCATAGCAAACTGTCTTGTCTTATGTCCATTATAAAATGTTTTCTAAAATGAGGGTTTCTGTCCTATAATGCAATTAAATATAGATGCTGGAGTTAGCTGGAACATCACTAGGGTTGTACAGTGTCTCTGATCTTTGAGAAATGTGTAGTTTCAATTCACCAAAAGACCCCAAGGTCCAATGTCATTTATCATTTGCCATTGAGCTTGCTTTGTTGTTTTTAATATTGCAAAGTTGAAGGGAAGAAAACAAAAGATGGGCCCAGAAGACTAGTATATCACAAAATTAAGAAAGGTCATATTTCCTTGTGTTAGTGAAAATATTCCTATGTGTTTAATATGCAATCAGAAAGTGTCCCTTTGGGAAGAGTACAATTCTGATTCCATTAATATGCAAATTAAGTGTATCTGTGTAAAAAGAATACAACTACGATATTCTCTACATCACTCATTTACCTGAGGCCCCAATAGACATTTGAGTCACAACTTCTGCTTTGCCAAAATACCCTGTTTTCAGTTCAAAAAACAAGCCAAGAACTGTCCTACTTAGTGCCCTTTCATGCTATTCTCTCTGCCAGGAGTGCATTTTCTAGGGCTCTTCACAAAGCCTGCCACTTTTCATCCTCCAAATCTCAGTTTAAATATCATCATCTCAAAGAGGTCTTCTTCAAACATCCTTTCTAATTAGATCTGCCCTTGTCATTTTCTACCATGGCACATTTTCATGATCTTAATAACATTTATCTACATTTGTAGTTTTATATTGATTTGTTTGCATAATGCCTCTTTAATGAAAGACATTTTCAGGTTTATATATCTAGTGCATATAAAATAATACTTACCTGATAGAATACATTTTAACAATTTATGCATCAAGTTCTGTGATTATTTTGACACATGGATTGTAGTAGGCACTGAGAAATCTTAGTGCTAAGGTGAAATTTTCCTTTTGTGAAGTTTGGACTGACAAACTAAGAACTTCTTATGGTAAAATACATCTTTAACCACTTCTTTTAGATCAACTGTTTGTTGATTTCATAAAAATGGAATAACATTGTTTACCTTTTCGGTTATCATTTCCCCTCTATATATCTTTGTATATTTGGTTTGCATACTATGAGTCAGATGTATAGGATCATATCCCTTATGCATATGTAACCACACCAGCTACTATTTCTTCAACTCAATACTCTCCAATTAGGGGTGTGCTCAGGAATGCTGATTAGTAACTTATTCTAGATGTTTGTGTTATATAAACTACCATTACTGCCTTTAGGCTTTCAACATGAATTCAATGAATGCAGATTTGGAAAGTGACACAGCCACTACACTCTCATGAGATGGGGTAAATTGGATGGATTACACTTCTCTTTCTCATGTCCCCAAATTACATGCTTATACTTCTCCAGTGAACAAATAGATTGAATAATTCTACTTGAATCCAGAAGTGTTTGGTTCTATTTAACATTATGCTTTTTGTAATAACGTGATGCTGCATGCCTCTATTTTGAAAATTTGCTCTATTTCCTTTTTAAAATTAAGGATTAATTTGATTCGGTTTATGGTAGTATGTATACCCTTCAAATTTGTATGGTGTCCTAATCCCCAAACATGATTGGATTTGGAAATAGACCCTTTAAAGAGGTGATTAATGTTAAATGGGGTCCTAATTTGAAGACAGGTGTCATTATTAGAACAAGAAGACAGACCAGATTTCTGAGAAAAGCCACATGAACATGTGAAATGGGTCAATTTTCCACTAAGGGAGAGAAGAAATCAAACTTGATGTTAGACTTTTAACCATCAGAACTGAGAAAAAATTCTGTTTATGGCACCATTATGTGCCATTACAGTCCTACTAGATTAATATCCTGCTAAATATTAGATGCCTATATATTTAGATTTCTTCCTCTTTCTTGTAAATACTTCTACCCCTCCACCTTTTTAAGGAATGATCATCAAACTGTGTATGTCACTGATCAACTTACATGTTTAATGAATGTATAAATTAAGATAAATACTTTCCTCACTGCATTTACTCAGTTTCATGAGAAAAATGTGTTTTAGCTACTTAAGGAAAAAAATATGGTAATTATGCATATATATTCATATATATTGTCAATTTAATATGAATGATAGAAATACAAGTATATATGATAGTAATAAAATCTTTCCTTTCATAGAGTAACTGCAGAGTGCTAGAAGTCAGTGATTTTTGTAATTATCTCACTTTCTGTAATAAGACCTTATTTCAATCTTTATTTTTATTTTTTCCATAAAATATGGCCAATTACACATTGAAATACAACTGGGATTTGAACATACTCAGTTTGAGTATGAGAAGAGATAATCTGTAAGATATGAATGTGGGGAAAATTGATAAAGATTTTAGTATTTGTGTAACTAAGTTTTAAAGTATTCTCAGAGGGCCACCCCTGGTGGCGCAGCGGTTGAGTTCTGGGCTGTGAAGCTGCCCGCAGCCTCTGCAGCACAGGTTTGATCCCCGGCCATTGGGCGAGGGTCCCACATGGCGCGCAGACCTCTCCTGCTGCCTGCTGCTCCCCTTAGCAGTGTACTTTGTCTGCCTGTTCTGTTCTCCGCTCTGGCTCTGGTGAATTCTCTCATCCTCCCATGATTCTGACTGTACCCAGTGCTTGTATAAATAAATAAATCTCAAAAAAAAAAAGTTAAAAAAAAGATCCTCTGTCTTTAAAAAAATAAATAAAAGTATTCTCAGAAACTATCCGATGTGAGTGAAAACAGGACAGGCAAAAGGGAGAAATTGACCAAATTTTTTTCATACAGCTGTTCTTGGTGACATAGGGAGTGCTTCAGATGTAAATGGAAGCTAGGGGACATCTCTTGCACTTCATGATATAGACCAAATAATGATACAATTATTCACTAAAAAGCCAATGGCCTTGATATGAGCAGCCCCTTCCAATGAGAGCTATTCCTGGGGAGAAACTTAGCTGAGAGCCATCAAAGCTGGCACTGGGGAATTAATGCCTTGGTCCTAAACAGGGAAGATCTGGATGGTGCATCCATTACAGTCTTTCCCTCATACCATTTTTTTAAGCAGAAATTCATCTCCTATGAAAATAGTTGTCCTAAAATTTCACTTGGGGCCTTTGTGAATCTTTTAAAGAGGAAGACAAATAGGAAAAACTATAGCCCCTGCCACTACAGTTGGTCCTAGTGACATTACTCCCTTTCAGCTCTTTCTCTACAACCCGTGTTTCATCTCCTTCGCTGATGGTGGCTTTTCTGGCCATCCCTAGACATTTGACCTCTCGTCACCAGGCCTTCTCCTGATGTGGCTGCTGCATTTGTTTTCAGAATTGGACGGGGTAGTATCAAGATATGTATGAGTGTATTACTTGAGTGCCAGAGATGCATTCTACCTTGCTGACATTAGAAAAAACTCTTGATTACTCTTGCTAGGATTGTGATTCATTTTCTTACCTGATCTTGACAAAGCATATCCACAATAATTAGCTGGTATCTATCCTTGCACAGTTGTGTGTTGGGGGCGGTATTTCACGTCTGTCCTCCTAGGATTTTCAGCTGCTCCTGAAAAAACTGACATAGGATATATTAACATGAGAAAAGCATTAGATTTTATCTCGTTTTACATAAGGAAGTCCACTTAAAGAAACAAAGCCTTGGGAAACTCATGAAACTTAAATATTTTATACTAAGTTGAACAAAGAGGCAATTGTGGAAAAATAAAGAGGGGCACTAGATTATGACCCCCTAAGAAAGGAAGTAGCATATCTGGGGGTAACATAGTCTACCATTCAGTACTTCTGAGTTACAGGACCTCTAAATCCTAAAATTGTGGCTTCAAAAGAGGGATCAGAGAGATAAATCAATAGATTAGTACATTCATGGCAGCTACTCTGGCTGGCACTGGTTGTGCCAGGAGTGGGAACCACATCCCAAGTTGGACCTACCAGTTTCTTCCCTAATAATTTAGAATTGGATTGACTTTTGGACTCTAATCATGAACTGTCAGACTATCTTCCAACATGTGGAACTAACAGTCAGGGGCACAAACCTGACTGCAAGATAGGAAAAACAGATACAGAAAAGGAACCAGCACTAGTGAAAAAGAATTCCTGAACTGTCCACAGCTTTCCATCCCTTGGTTCATCTTTTCTGAGACCAATGCTAAGGTGACTTTATTGACTGTGACTTTCATTATCTCAACTTACATTTTTCTCTTTGCCTTTAAAGTTACTCAACTGGTCTTTTCTGAGAGAATTTAATGACTTTTTCATAGCAACCTGCCCTTTCACCTTTAAGTGATTGTGAAATGAGACTTAACATCCAAGATACTTTGAAAAATGCAAATGCATATTGGAGTTGGCATTTGGTTTGACTGTGAGCTATCTTAAAGTGCATGTTAATAATAACTCACCTGTTACTAATATGGACCTCCTGTGGAAAAGTAGCAGTTCTTGAAGCTAAAAAGTTACACTGAGAAACTTACTATGAAGGTAAATATTAACTCAAAAGCATGCTATTTTTCCTGTTTCATTTCCTTTTTTTACTCATGATTTTCTCTTGCTATTTTAGAAGAGTAGGAAGATAATGTGGCAATTTTAGACTCCAATAATTCCATTAAATTTTTTAAATGTCTTTGGGAATGTGAGTACTAGGCAGTCTATTCCTTGGTCTGTGTATTCATTTTTGAATATGTTTAGAAACTATACTTTGGCTAAAGACTTATTACTTACTAATTTGCAAGTTGTTCTACTATATTTATAACAAATTGATACCCTCAGAATACCAGGTCAGGGTGTAGGTGGTGGACTGCTATAAAACATAAAATCATTATTGCACTCTTAGTTTTGTGCTCCCTTTAAATATATGATTTCATTACTATATAATTTCTTTGAATAATGTTTTAAGTAAAAAGGACTCAGTGATAATATCATAGTTTTACCCAGGAGCCTGCAATGAAACAAAGTGGCACATATTTGTCCCTGCATTACTCGGCAGTATGATGGATGATGGCAATTACTGGAAAGAACAATATTAGTTTTACAGTTATTGTTATTAACTTAAAGTGCTAAGAATAAAATCTCATATTTCACTAGATACTCCAATCACCGCCAAAATATGTGACAGAGGAACATTTTATAATCCCTATATTTTACACTGGCTGCACAACTAGAAATTGGCAGAGTCAAATCATTTATATCTCCTTATTACCAGCTTGCAGAAGCCATTGAGAATATGGAACTAGTGATGGATATTTTTGTGGCAGATGTTGTTTTATTCTCTTCCACTGTATTAAATTTACCATATATTGGTTCTACTACAGTTTATAAAAGTTTCACAAAGAGATTAGCAATAGAATAACAAAACATACAACTTGCTTATTCTTATTTCCCATTGACAAAACATATTTACTTATTTATAACATGTGAATATCATAAATATGAGATACATATGTAGTCAGTAAATATTTAAGGAGACAATTTGAATGCAGCTTTTTCCTAAATTCCAGATATTAGAAAAACTGCCACAAAAATCTTCCTTCGATTAAAAAAAGGACAAGCATCTAAATTAGTTATACATATAGTTCTGATAAAATGAAAAGGTATTAGCAAAAATATATTTCATACTATAAATTACCAGACTTTCACAGTGTCCATGGACATAAAAAGCAGAGCAGGCATCCTCAGTTTAAATCTCAGCCTGCCAACTACTCTTGTGGTTTTGGTAATTTACTTCCCTGTGACTTACTTTTCTAATGTATAAAATGTGGAAAACAATGCTTATGACTTCATAGAATTGTTATGAGGATTAACAGTGTTTATATAAGTAATGTTTATAGCACAAAGCTTGACATAATGTTTGCACGACTTAAATGTTAGCAATCAAGACGACTGCAACCAAAAATGCCGAAACCAATACAATAATGAAAATATTTATGGACTAAAATCTATTAAGGCCTAATTTCCATTTAAGGTATTTTAAACAAATAAACAACCCCAGGATAAAGTAGACTCCCACTAGGATATAGTATAGTTTATAAGGTTATATGGTCACAGTCTTTCTTTTTTGAATCAAAATGTCATCTTCATTCTTTCAGAATAAAGGGTACCCATGAACACATAACCATGTATATATATGATATACCCTAAAAATTACACATTAAAAAATCTTTAATAAAACTAGCATTAAGATTCATTATATTTGGGCAAATGACTCAGGATATAAAACTGAATTTAATGTAGGTTGAGTTCAATAAAAACATTTTGAGGTGACCAGTCATTATCTTATGGCAATTTATTGAACTGGATAATACTTCATGTAAGTCTGGAATTCCTCCCTTTTCCTATGGAGCCTGTTCATTTCTGATCATGTCACACTCTCCTAAAAACTTAACAGTATTGTAAACGAAACCCATTTGCCCAAGATTAACTATTGTATGTGAAGTCTTATATGAATAGATAGCAAAATGTTATCCTCTGTTTTATACTGTTATCATGGAAAAATACATTGGCTAAGGAGTGAACACAAGGTCATTGAGCATTTTAAACTATCTGATGTTTCAGTATTTTTAGTATGTTCATTTGGAGTTTATTTTTATCTGGACAAGGAGTATTAAAGACACTCAGAATATTTTCACTCATTCTGGGGCCCTATCTATAGAGCAAAATGACTTTGCACATCCTCTTTCAGGTATCACCACATAAGGCATCAATCCATTAATATTTTATATTTACATATATATTTATATCTAATACAGAGATTCAGAACAATTTGAAAGCTGATATGACTTCCATTATTTTTCTCTGGAAATGTGCAGGATAAAGCAATCAAAGAATATATATAAAATTAAATATAATTATTAAATAGAGCATGTGCAAAAAGAGGCTATATCCCAGCACACCACCTTTTTATAGAACAATTTTTCAAAGGAGAATTTGGATAGCTTTGTAATGCTTTTGGAAATAAATGAGACCTGCATATTCTTCAATCCACTTTGACTACATGCATTGTGTAATATACTCTAACTTGGTTTATTTATCATTTATCACAGAAACTAGAGTAGCTTGCAGTTGCTTCTCTTTACTGCAGAGTAAGGAAAGTTAATACTTTAGCTAAGGTAAAGCTTGTAAAATATTTCGGCCATTAAATTGTAAGCACTGATTTGTTGAGAAAGTTTTTATGTTGGAAGTCAAATGCTTGTAATGAGAAGTTGTGCAACTCTTCCTTGGCTATAATGGAGACGTGAGGCTTAGGTGAGCCACCATGTAGCCAGGAGGATAAAGGTTTACAAGAATGAGCCATGTCTGAGAAGGTATGAATCTAGCCCCCTAAAACATATATGGTATTATAAACCAAAGCAACCTCATTAAAAAAAAAATAAAGGATGGAGTCTTGTACCATGAGAGAATCCTTGAATGGGAACACCAGACCTAAAATGCCTATCTCCAAACTCTTAAGTGAAATAAATACCTTCTTTAGTTATTCTACTATTAGTGAGGGTCCATCTACATTGTATCTTTAGATGTTAGAACATGGCTTATAAATTCCCTTCCATAACTTTTTTATTTACATTTACAGTTCCTAAAACACAAGATAATCATTCATGTTAAAACACTCAGAATAACTAACATCTGACTTTTTAATTTTGATTAGCTCTAAATAGTCACAGAATGTAAAGAACATTTGAATAGGGCTTGAGGTTTTAATGCTTTCTGAATATTTAGCATATAATTTATTTCCATGAAGGTTCTATTTCTGCTCTTCTTGAACATAGAAAATTATGTTTAATTGTAGAATCACTCATTTGCCTTTGTACCAAAATTTCAGGAGTTAGTTGAACAAAGTATATGTTCAAAATAGTAACTGCATTGAATGCATACACTTAATTGATCAATAATTTTGCTCCATAAATATAATTAGTAAAATGGTCACAATGTGTATTATAAACATGCTTTAAACCAATATTTATATTGCTGTCTCATTACTTCTTCAGGATATTAAACCACCAAATGAAGATTATCATTGGTTTTAACATTCCCTATAAATGTGCAACTACTATATTAGTTATTTGATTTGGTCATTAAGATTATAAAAATGACTGGAATGACTTTTACATATAGGTTTTTTTTTTAAGATTGATTTATGTATACAAGCACTGGGTACAGTCAGAAGCATGGGAGGGTAAGAGAATTCACCAGAGCGGGGAGCAGAACAGGAAAATGGACCGAAATACACTGCTGAAGGGAGCAGAGGGCGGCAGGAAAGGTCTGCACGCCATGTGGGACCCTACCCAGTGGCCGGGGATTGAACCAGTGCTGCAGAGGCTGCAGACAGCTTCGCAGCCTAGCGCTCAACTGCTGCTTCACTGGGGATGCCCTACATATAGTTTTTGAGTAATCAACTGATAGCTGGTTATCTAGTTAGCTATTGTAGGAATAAAGACTGCCTATAATTGCATTATAGACATTTATAAGCAATACAACTATACTCATTGAAATTTTTTTAAGGATTTAATCATAATATGATTTAAATACAGAGCTCTTTGATATCTAGTAACCTGTGACTTTATTTGAAAATGAAAAAAAATCATTAGCTCAAAATATATAATCTACATTAAAAACAGCTTCTAGTTTTGTTAGGATTAGAGCTTTTACAAATAAAAGAATGTAATTTTTAATAAAATGAGCTTATAAATATGACCCATATAAATATATTATTTAGTTCTGTTCTATTTTGACAAGTTCACATGAAATGTTATCTATGTCATCAAAATATCTATGAAAATTGCCTTGTCTGCAAGAACTCATTTCTACTCTCCAAAGTAAGTTTGAAAAAAAAAGTAAAGTTCATCTTTTCAATTACCGGAAAAAATAGATTGGAGATAAAATATTTTTAAAAAATTTTAAACTCAGGGACCTCCCTGGTGGTGCAAGGACTTAAGCACTGCACTATGGAGCAACCCACATGGCAAAGCAGACCTCTCCTGTCTCGCCCGTTGCTCCCCTCAGCAGTGTATTTTAGCTAGTCTGCCTGTTCTGTTCCCCGCTCTGTCTCTGGTGAATCCTCTCACCCCCACCCCTGCATCTCTGGCCTGTACCCCAGTTCTTGTATGCATAAATAATCTTTATAAAAGAAATCTAAACTCAGACTACTATGGTATTAAACCCTATTATTGACTTTTATTGCAATTAAAAAGTAAACAATTCTTAACTCTTACATGCTTTAGCAGCAAATATTCTATTTTTATCTGATGTAATCAGTTAAACCTGCCAACTTACCCACTTTTGTCCCTAATCTATGTCTTATGACAACTTACACAATTTACGTTACAGGGTTTTTAGTGACCAGAGAGAACATTAGGTCCGGTTTTACTTAGGTGTTTTCCTGATGTTAATATATTAAGAATTTCAAATTTGAGTCTTAAAAAAACATGCAGTTAGCTATTTTCAATGGGATCTGCTAATTTATATTTCATACTGAGTCCCTAAAGAAAACTCTTCAGAATCATAAGGGTGAGTATGCATTTATTGCTATTTTATATTAATTGCTAATTAATTCCACATGGTACTGACGGATTTCTATTTAGCATTAAGTTTACTATAAAGTTTTACAAACTACACTCTACTGTATTGTTTAGAGCAATATATTCTTCTCTATATTTTCTTCTTCTCAGACCTGATCCTATGTTCTATGTAAGATCAGTGAATGGCAAAATTGACTTACTATTTTTAAAGACAAAATTTCACCTGTGCACATATTGGTTATTGTTTAATTTTGGAATGTGCTTAATTTTGAAATATTTGCCACTTATTTATGAAACTGACTATGCAGTTAGTTTTATATTATGAGATTTCATAAAGTGGTAATACAAATAATAAAACTGTCTTCTAACATAAGTACTCTAATTCTTCAATTTTTCATTTTTAAATCATGATCCAATTCCCACATCACTCATTTATATTCAAAGTTCCATGTTTTCCAATTTCATTTTGTCTAGTTTTTTTCATAGCAGTAACCTCTAGCTTTATATGAATTTAAGGTTTTATAAACTGCTTTGCAGATTATCAGAGAGTGGAGAAATTGTTCTCAGTGGGTATCACATTTGCTCAGAAATGATTTAGTGTATTGCTAACGATTGCAACAGTATTTTCACGTTACTCATACTATCTTAAAATAACCTTTCACTGGAACACTAATCTACTTTCTTAGACAGCTAGAGCTGTATTTTTCTTATTCAATGTTTTAACCAGGTTTAGATCATAATATCACTTTGTTTCAGTCAGTAGATGGCAGACTTGTATTACATATATTCTGAATTTAGTGTGGAATTGTTTTGTTGTAACACAAATATCCACAAACATATTTTTGTTATGAAAAAGGAAATACAAGAATTTAATTTATTCTATAACCACATGAACTTATTTTTTAATTAGCTTAAGAACTATATAGCTTGAAGTCTTACCTATAGCTATTCTTTAAAAAAAAAAAAAAAAAAACTTTCTAAGTGGCCTTTGCCACTTTTTAAAAAAGATTTATTTATTTATTTATATAAGAACTGGGGTACAGGCCAGACGCATGGAAGGGTGAGAGGATTCACCAGAGACAGAGCAGGGAACAGAACAGGCAGACTGATGAAATACACTGCTGAAGGGAGCAGTGGGCCAGACAGGAGAGATCTGCCGCGCCTTGTGGGACCCTCACCCGCTGGCCGGCTGGTATCGAACTGCACTGCAGAAGCTGTGAAGAACTTCTCAACGCTGCACTCAACCTTCTGGACCACCAGGGGAGGGCCCCTATAGCTATTCTAATTAATTTGTTTGTAGTTAAGAAGTTACTGCCACAGGAACATTAACATCAACAACTATCAAAAAAAAAAAAAATGTTGGTGTAAGATTTTACTATAATTCTAATCATTCAAAAATTATAATAACTAATTTATACAGAGTAAATAAAACATTCAAATTGAATATAAATGTATAAGAAATGACTTATTTGAAAATATTTTTGAGAAGTCTGACATTTGCATGTTCTGCTAGTCATTTAATGTACAGTCTATACACACTAGGGTGACTTGCTATAACATCACAAGATGTGTCCGTTACAGCACAAGTAATCTTCCTGCCAACTGCCACATATTTGAAGAGAGCAAATCACACATGCCAACACTAATTGCTTCTATTTAATTCTCCAAAAGCATTAGTTTAAGTTATTATAAAAAGCTAAATTTGGTAGCATCAATATAACTCAGAAAGTAGTATTATCACATTTTTTATTTCATTTCCAAGTGGAATGAGCTTGAAAGTTAGATATAGGCTGAGTTTATGGGGAGAGCCAGACAAATTACTGTGCTCTAATACTTATCCGGGATGAGTCTTCTAAGTGCACCTTCAAAAGAGGTTGCCACACCTGGCAAAGCTTTTTACATACCCTGTTTTTCATAGTGGTGTCTGCATGAGCTTCCACTGCAGACTTTGAGGAAAAACCTATCTTTGCATTGCAAATATTACAATTATTAGTAGAGAAACATTGTTAGATTTTATTCATGAACTTTGTGTGCTCCTAAAATTCAACCTGCTAGTGAGAAAAGACTACATCATGTACTCTCAGCAGACAGGTGCTCCAAAATCAACAATCCTGCTATACCAATTCTCTTTGCCCTCTAGTCAACACTGCATATTATGATAGTTTTGTCTTTATTAATGTTTAGCATTAAATTCCATGAAAACCAGTCATGTTTACTTTTCTGAAAGCTAGAAAAGATAATATCCCTATTTTCCACTGAGAATCTCTACTGATTTTTTTCCCCTAGGATCTGAAAAAACTACAAATTTTGTCCAGCCTGTTTACTCTTTAAACAACTGCCACTATTTTTCTGTTTTTATCGAGGTCAATGGGAGTGGAGCAGCAAGATATGCTCCTAACAGTTTCCTACTTCTAAATCCTTGCCATTCAGAATTTAATCCACAAATGTGATCCACAATTGAGCAGCTTTGGCATCACTGGGGGAGCTGATAGGGGAAAAAAAAACAAAACAGAATTTCAGCCTTCCACCCCAGGTCTATTAAATCAACTGCACTTCACCAAGACCTACTGGTTATTACACACTTTACAAGCAAGGTAGTACCACATGTTATACCTCTCAGCAAAATGGAAAGAAGCCTTAGCCCATTTGATTTCCTAAAGAGCACTAAATATTAGATTCAAGGAGGAAACATGGAAAAGGAATTGCTCCTGAGATAGTGTTATATTTGTAACTGACTACCCCACTTTGGGGTAACCTCAATCATTTTCAATAGGATGTGGTCACATCTTAGGGAAATAAACTCACACTATATATAGATAGGAACTGTTTCAACCCAGTTTCACTGACTTAGAAGACATGGTAGGGTATCGCAATCGCAGGTGAAGCAACTTCTAGATGGTAGAACAATTACTAATGCATGGTGCAAACCACACTATTGTACTTACTCATTTCCAGATCTCGGTGCCCTCCCTTTACGCAAAAAAATCCAAGAAATTATCACATTGAAATTTTCTCCTTCACCAGAAATTCAATAATAATCTGAGATTTTGCTGCAGAAATGTTTAATGGTGAAAAATGGCTTGTAAGGAAATATTTTATCACAAAGTACAGAAGACTAAATGAAATCATACAATTCATGATTCAATTTCAAATATAATATGTAAATCTCTCCAAAACCCTGTAAAATGACTTTCTGAACTCAATTGTTGTAGGTTTAATACAGCGATTAGACTGGGTCAACTCGTCTACATTGTCAGAAACCATGTTTTATGCAGGTAACTAGTTGTTTTATTTCCATTTGATTATTTATGCTCTTATTTTAGCTTTGTCCTATGACATTCTTACACATTGAAATTGCATTAACTTTTTCAGACACATGATCAGTTTAAATCAATGTATCCTATTTTGTGGCCAATTCTAATTTGAGTAACAATTTCTATTTGCTATTTTTTTTCTTACTGCAGCATGTAAGTTGATATTTTCAAAGGAATTTAAGTCAAACATATAGGAAGAAATATTTTCTCAGCAATACTTTTAACTCATAACATTTTATAAATTTTGGTCTGTAAGATTTGTTATAAATCTTACAAATAAAAACATACTATAGGAATGAGAAACCTGATTTCAGATAGGTGACTTGACATTCTCAAGATCTCACAGCCATTTGGAATTAGCTAAACTGAAACCATTGATTAGTGTTTTTTTATTTTTTAATGGAAATCAACCACACTATTTCTTAGTTCCCATTTCTTTAACTTGGATAACTGAAATGAGTTTAATAAAACCCTGTCAACCAAATATCACATTATGCATAATAACATGCATCTTGAAGGTTATATTAAATGGGAAGATGATTCTGGAAAGCTAAGAGAATTAGAGGTCATGGTTCCATGTAAAATCACCATGGAAACAGCTTTCATGACCAATTTATGGGGAGATGTCAAAAGGCAGTAACCTGTGACTTCTTTTTCCAAAGCCCTGTCTATGAAGGTTACAGGTTCTATATTTGCTTTCATGATGACATTTGTCTATGTTTTTGTAGGTTTCTATTCTGACAAGCACAAAACCCTGCACCAAGTTGAACCTGTTCTTTGTGATGAGGCTGTTGAACAGAAGAGCAGCATAGCAGTCTGTCTATTCTTGCTCCACATACAGCTAAATGCCAACTCCGATCCCTTTGAGATGGTGAGCAGACTGAACTCAGGGAGAGTGTCATCTCTCAGTATCCAAGCTTCTTCAGAGAACCATGTGGTGAAAGTTCTTGATTAAGGTCATACCCTTAGTCCCTGGCATCATTTTTTTATAAGCTAAAGATAACTGTCTAAAATCCATATATATAAGTGTAGCAGTAGATAAAAATACTCAAAGCTTGTGTCTACAAATCATCAAAATCAAAAGAAATAATATTATGCAGATATTTATTTTGCATTATTAACATATTTTATGCAAATCAGAAATATATCAAAAGAATCATTTTTATTAGTGTTGGGCTATGTTTTACTGTAAAATAACCATCTTTATCTGTGCTTTACCTTTTGAATACAATGGTAATTACATTAAAAACATCTCTAGACATTGCAAGCATTAGTCGTTTGAAATATTCAGTATATAAATAGGATTTAATTCTAGATTTTGTTGGATATACTTACATTTAAATAGAAATTTATATGTAGTTTAAAAGACTTTGCTATTTAACCTTATAAACTTGGTTAGAAAATTGTATCCTTGGATGGGAACTCACATCAAGACCAGACAGAATTAGTTTTTTTCAAACATTGATATAATAATGTTTTATAGTATAATTTTATCATTGTAATATATTGATGATTGCTTTTTTTGAAAAGCATGCCTATAATATTCTGTAATAAATGCAATTATTGTAAGGGTTACTATCTAACATTTTGTTTCTTAATCTAACATAATTCTACATTTGCTTACCAACAGATTACTTTAGTCCAAGGATTAATTTTAAGTCATGTCAGATAATATTTTCTAGATTTTTGAGGTTTTCTGATGCTCTGTGAGAGTTATTTGTATTAAAATAACTCAAGCTCTCATTAGATAATAAACTTATTTTTAGTACACTGCTACCTAAATGGAGAAGCTGCTAAAAGTTTGAGTTTTCAGTGCTCTTTACATTTGACTTAAGGGTAATGTCCATTAAGAGTTAGCACAAGATATCACTCTAGAAAAGAGCTTGAAATGCTGGAAGAGAGCTTTTTTTAAATCCCAAAGTTGTTCAAGATGGTAACATAGACATTTCCTAAGCTCACCTCCTCCCAGGGACACACCAAATACAAAGTTATATATGGGATAGTTTTCTCTGAAAAAGATCTGAGCATGAGTTGAACTGTCCCACTACAATAAGACAATCAAAATGGTAGGAGAAGTGTAGATAAGCTCTCACCAAGAAGTTCTAACCATAATGCTGTGACCCAAAATTTGAAGGCATCTCACAAATAGTTTATTTCTAAGGACTGAGAAGTTCACACTTCACAACAGGAACTCCTATATTGGAGGTGCCTGTCTCTCCAGTACAGGTCCCCAAAAGACTAGCTTTGACAACTAATTGGACATTTGACCAAGAAGACACAAGATATGTTGTAGAACAGAGTCTGCTATTAAAGGGCAGCATGAAGGTTCATTTCACCTCATTGCAAAAGGAGCAAAATACCTACAAAATCTAGCTGATGTTAATAAACAAAGTGAGGTATCTGAGGGGAAGGAAGAAAGGATCAAAGGGGAGCCAAGGATGGCGATGGCAAAATAAATAACATAGGAACAAATACACATTTTTTCCAAAAAGACATACAGATGACTAGCAGGCACATGGAGAATGTTCAGAATCATTATCAGGGAAATGTAAATCAAAGTCAAAATGATATCACCCAGTACTTGTCAGAACAAGCATAAATAAGATTAGAAACATGAAGTGTCAGCAACGATGTTGAGAAAAGAAAACCCTCATCCACACTATTGGTGGGACTGTGTGTTTTATAGGCATTATGGAAAACAATATGGAAGTTCTTCAAAACTATGACTCTAGTAATCTTCCTTTTAAAATGTACATGAATATGCTTTCTAGCTACCTAGAAGATGTCTAATAGATTTAAGCAAGGATAACAGGAATGGCAGTATAAATATTGAAACTAGTTACATGATTGTCAAAGTTGGATGCATAACAATATTAAAAAAGACTATGTAATTAAAATGTTAGTAATCGAGCCCAAAATTTTGTATTTTATGTATAAATCCAGGAAGTGTTGGAGAAGGAATAAAATTTGCAATGAGACAAAGTTAATATGTGCTAAATTCCTCATTTATATGGTGTTAATTTTTTTTATTCCTGATATAAGTAGACAAATATTCTGCAATGAAAAGCTTTAAAATAAGCTATGTTATACCTAATTATATTGAGTTATTAAAAACTCAATATATACATCAAATTCATCGGGGGCGGGGAAATACACACAGGCAGTTTACTTTTCAAAATTCATACCAAATTTAAAGATTGGAAATAAGACACATTAAATTAAATTATAAAGTTAAGGTAAGTTACATCACTTAATATAGGAAAGTCCATTTATTCCAAATTTCAGATTTTTTATTGAAATATAAGTACATTTAATTTTGAAAACAAGCTTCTGTTAAAAGATAATTTCAAAGCAGTCAAAATATTTTCACTTATAGATATAAAATGAACATCTAAAATTTAACTTATTAGTGAATTAGTAATATGTGACAATTTAAAGAAGAATCCAAATAAAAGGCATACTTATAGCTTAAGAATTATTTCAAGAAGAAACCTCTGGCTTCTTCTACAGCACATGAGTGAGTCAATTGAATCTCTAACTGACAGTATTCATTTCAATGTATATAAAACAGTCATACAATGCAATCATTTATGTACAGAGTACCGTAATTTCTCAAAAATAATGAAAGAACAGTGTCCCTGTAGGATGATAATTATATGATCCCTGGAGGGATACACTCTGAAATATGCAGTTTTCCCCAGAAACATATTTTTTTCTACACTGCTGAGAAAATTAAAAAAAAGAAATAGTATTTCTATTGTTCTATATAACTGTTCATGGCAATTCTTATATATTAATCACTTGCTACTCACAGCAACCTTTCCTGGGGCTTAGTGTTATTTTACCTTATTTCTAAGTATACTGAATCTAATATTTAAAAGGTAAAAAATCTTGCAAAGAAGTACTAGAGATTTACAGTGAGGACTGTAAATGGATTAAATAACTTTTGGGTAATTCCTTCATTTTGGAAATTTTACTAGAATATCTTTCTGTGGTTTAACATTCTGGTCTGTTTCAATGACTTTTCCAGTCCTTGGGCCAATTCATGTCTTCCACTAGAAATCATTGTTTCTGAGGTATGCTACAATATGTCTACTTGCATGATCAACTTTCTCTTGCATCTTCTTTTATGCATTAACAAGGTAAGGAGAGCTTTTAGGTAGTTATTAAAAATTATCTGGTAGCCACACACCCCTTTGTGATAATTTCCCTTTGTCAAATAAAATCATCTTCTATGTTAGTTCCTAATTTTATTTTGTCCTATTTGGCTAGAAATACTCTGCTGTAAACAGTGACGGTTAATCTCCCTACTTTTGCACTTTGAAATCTCCCAAACGTTTGTATTCTGGGAAATGATGTAATGCAAAAATAAAAATTAAAAAGAACCTTTCTGTATATGACCTCCTTCTGTACCTATATGGTAAGACAGAGACAGGACCTCTAAATCCACATTCTTTACCTGGTCTGATTAGCTGACCTGTTTATTCCCCCATACTGAAACTAAACACGGAGAGACTGAATATGTGAAATAGTCAACTATTAGAAAACATCAAATAACCAACAGTCAATAGCCAGGAAGTCAATTTGCTATTCAGTAGCTATCCTAGGGGAAAAAAATTCATGTCAAAGTAGGATTGGTAGAAAGTCAAATTATCTAACAACAGTTCAAGAAAACAGACAATAACCCCTTTAACAATCAGATCCATGTAGCCAAAACTTAATAATTGACAATTTCCCTTAATTTTGTTCACAATTTCAATTTAGCACCAAATAGAAAACACAGTATGCACCCATAACCAGTCACATAAAATGCACTGCATTTAGTTACGCTTCCTCTAGTTTCCCCATGTAGATAACCTCCAATCAGGGCCTACCCAAAGCTTTCCAAATTTCTAGTATAAAGCGTTAGCATTACCCTACCTGCCTATGTCTCTGCCAAATGCAGATGATGGTGAGGTATTCACTTGAGGTTACAAGCTCTGAATTAGCAGCCTTCACATGTTATTTGGGCGGTATTAGTTTTCATGGCCAGATAAATATTTTCTGACTAATTCACATTCCCATTTTATAAAAACAATTTCAACTGTAAAATCACCCAAAAACTTGTTACTTCTTCCTATAAAAGTCTAAAGAAAAAGCACCATACTTATCTTCTCTAATTTTGTAGGCAATTCAGTATCTGGGGATGCTCTCCCTATTGAAATAGCCCGATTAAAATAATTTCACCTGCTTACAAATAGTATATTCTTTCCAAAGCCTAATTATATGATTGTATAATTTAAAAATACCTATCTCAAAATATTTGTCAACTTTGGGGGCCTCCCGGTGGTACAAGGGGTTAAGTCTCAGCACTATAAAGCTATCAGCAGCTACTACGACCTGAGTTTCATCCCCAGCCAGGGAGCTAACCCCCATGGCATAGCAGACCTCTTGTCTCACCTACGGCTCCCCTCAGAAGTGTATTTCAGTCAATCTGCCTGTTCTGTTCCCCACTCTTTCTCTCGTGAATCCTCTCCCCCCTCCTGCACCTCTGGCCTACACCCCTTTTCTTGTACGCATAAACAAATGAAAAAATGCATCTTTAAAAAGAAGTATTTGTCAACCTCACAGAAAAGTAAAAATGCTCAAAGAAAGGGACAAAAATATCAGAAGTGAAAAGTAAGGAGAACAGAGGTGGGGGGAGAGGGAGGAAATGAAATGATATAGATTATCAGGTCTTTAAAACACGTATCCTGTGTCTAAAAGGTAGAAAAGAACAGTGACTTTACAAATATTGATGTGTTCTGTGGAGATTGTCTTGCTCCAAGGAGAACTTTCTGTTACCATCATGGAAATGCAAATCAACAAGGAGATACTAGCACATACCAAATTTTCTGGAACAAGTGTTAGTGAGGATGTCAAGAAAAGACCACAGGAACGCTTGTACAGTGTCAGTGGGAATATAGACTTGCCCAGTCCCTATGGAAAGCAATATGGTGGTTGCTCAAAATATTAAAAATAGATCTACCATATAACCTAGCAATTCTACTCTGAGGTATGAGGTATCTACCAGGAGGAATGCTAAATCACTAATTCAAAGATATATATGTACTCT